GGTGTTTTGTCTTGTTGACTGTGTCCTTTGCCTTACAGAAGCTTCTCAGTTTCAGGAGGTCCCATTTATTAATTGTTGATCTCAATGTTTGTGCTACTGGTGTTATGTTTAGAAAGCAGACTCCTAAACCAATTTGTTGCTGGGTACCACCTACCTACTCTTCTAGGAGGTTTAGTGTGGCTGAATTTTTGTTGAGGTCTTTGATCTATTTGGACTTGAGTTTCATGCATGGCTATAGATATGGATCTGTCTGCAGTCTTCTACATTCCAGCATCCAGTTATGGCAGCACATTTCTGTTGAATGCTTTCTTTTTTCCATTGTATACCTTTAGATTCTTTGTCAAAAATTAGGTGTTGGTAGGCCCTATCCCAAAGGACATGACAGACTCTGAAGATCCCCCATGGAAGGCCTCACACTCACTGGGTAGTTGAAAGGTTGTGGGTTAGGTAGGGTGTTAGTGGTTGCCAGGGGCAGAGAGGAGGGAGAGGGAACTGCTATTCACATGTGCAACAAACTTGTTTCTAATTTAAATAAATAAATAAAAAAGAAATAAGAGAGAATTTTAGCACTAGGGATCCACAAGTTTGACCCCTACTAACAATCTAAGTAATAGTTGAGAGGCTATCATGAATGTCCTTCTCCAATAATGAGATTGATGACTACTTTATATGCTATCCTAGGGCCTTCATCCAGTAGCTTATGGAAGCAGAAGCAGACACCCACAGCTAAACACTGAACTGAACTCTGAAATCTAGTTGCAGAGAGGGAGGAATGATGACCAGGCTGGAGAAAACAACAAAAATAGCTGACCTGAACAAGGGTTTGCTCATGGACCCCAGTCTTATATCTGGGAAACCAGCATAGGACTGATCCAGACACCCTGAATGAGGATGTCAGTTTGGAGGTCTGGGAAATCTATGGAACCTCTGGTAGTCTTTACTGCTCACTTATTGAACTTCTCTTTCTAACATATGGAGACTATGTTAAAAGCAACAACTGAATAAATTGCATGGTTTTGGAGATTATGCCCAACTGATATATATATATATATATATCAATTCCCTCACCTAAAGCTCAGTGATTATATTGGAGTTGGTGGCTGAGTGATTGCAAATGCCAGAGGAACAGGAGGTTTGCTGTGAGACTGTGTTTCCCAGGAATGTCAGATGCTGCATTTGTTAACTCCCACCTACATTTTTGTCTAGACATGAGCTGACTGAGGACAACAATAGACACTCCAAAGTAGGTAGGCGAAATTATATGAGGCTTTAACCCTACACACACACACACACACACAAAACAGGTAACACATAGGGGCAGGATAAATAGTTTTCCTAAAGGGGGAAAACACCAAAAGATATCTGATACTATAGATTCAGCTCTGAACATAAACCTCCAAGTAAATTTATTCAGATTAAGCTATATATATTTATGTATTTAGGATATGTGTATACACAGATGCATGTAAGACTAATGAAAAAAAAAGGTTATGAACTTGAAAGAGAGCAAGGAGGGGTATTTGAGAAGTGAAGGGTGAGGGGAAATTATGTAATTACATAATAATCTCAAAAATAAAAGAAAATCTAAAGTTTAGTTTTATCAGACTTCAGAAAAAATACTGGGTTCTACTTCATTAGAGGGACTGGGTCACAGAGCAAAGATAGCATCAGGTCCTCTTCCTCTTTTGCTTTTCTTCAAAACCTCAAACAGTATAGATATAGAGGACTTCTGCGTGTCATGGATTCTGGCAGCAATGAGTGACTGGGTAGGGAGATGTGGTCACCTCTTATATCAGTTAGTATTAGATATCTAGGCATTGGGGATTCACATCATAATACGGGAGGCAGCAGTTATACCTGTTTTTAGTCAATTAAAACAGGTGCTAATTGAGGTATCAGCTTTGAGCCCCCAAGAAGGAACATATCTAGTCTACATACATAAGAAATCAGGTGTGGCTCTTAAGGTACTAATACAGCTAGAGTACCTACCTAGCATCCCACGAGGAACTTAAACGAGGAACGGGTCATAAGGAAAGATGACCCTCCCACACCTAAGGAGTGGTTGCCATCCACAGACCTTTAGATCCCAGAAAACACAAAGATAATCCTGGGAAGTTATGTGACAATGTATGTCCCCCACCTTTACCACAATATGTCAGGATCACATTCTTTGGATAGATTCTATATGGTCAACTGATAATTCCTTCTAAAATATCTGGAACTATATTAAACAAATTCTGTAATTCAACTCAGGAATGGTTTCTCAGTTAACTTAGCCACTTTCCCCTTGGATAGATGGAAACCACAAACCTGACTTCAATCAAATTGTTTTTCAAATATTTGCAACCAAGGAGGACTTCAAAGAGACTTCCAAAATTGAAGAACCCAGATTGCATTCTCTCGACAGATAGGAGTGTCTTTATGGAATCATTTGGGAGAGGGCCTAGGCCCTCCTTGCTGTATCTGGGCTGCAGTAGTATCCCTCCATAGGGAATGGTCTCCCAAAGTCCATTTGTGCTCTAGGGATAAACACTGGCTCCACTGTTAGAGGTCCTATAGACTTCCCTGGCCCCCTAGCTGGCACCCACATTCAGAGGGCTTGGTTCGGTCCAACGTTGGTTCCCCAGCTTTACGACTAGGGTCTCTGTGCTCTCATTAGGTCAGGTTAAGTGTTTCTGCGGGTTTTTCCAGTTCCGTCTTGGCTCCTTATGAAGCCTCTGTGCATGTGTGTACTCTGGCTGTGTGAGAGTAGCATGCTTCAATGATGGGAAGACTCTATTTCTAAAGACACTACACATTTTGTTCACAGGAATTTGAAGATTCTGTCAGGATCTGACTTGGAAGACTCCTCCATGAGAACCAGATCACCCACTACTGTAAGGTTCTATATAAGCTGCCCAGTGAGAAAAACATTCAACATATCTTCCTGACTCTAAATCCAGCAATGACTAACTCAGAAGGATATCCTCAATGTTACAGTAGTAGCCCTTTTATAATTGGTGCGAACAAAAGTGGCCTCTTTGGTTTTATAATTTGATCAGTGGTAGGGTACAAATTTCATGACTGGTACTGTTAAGTAAGGCAAATATTTGTGCTTGGAGTTTTCACAGACCTTAGAAGAGAGCTCACAGTGGGTATTTTCCTTATCCAATGTAAGTACTAAGTTTATTCTAAATAATTATACCTGTATGCTCAAATAAGTGAAGCTCTCACTCATCAAAGAATCTTCTCTTTTAAATAGAAAGTATTACAGGGATATATCACTGTTCAAAATGCAGAGCATCAGTGACCATGACATGGCCCGCCTCAACCTACAACACAATATCTGAGTTTCTAATAGTTTTTCTAGTCCCCAGTGGTCAGTCCCAGTGGTCAGCCTAAATAAATCCATATAGAAACAAAACTAAGAGAACTCAGTAGTGTGCTGTGCTGTGTGTGTGTGTGCTGTGTGTGTGTGTGTGTGTGTGTGTGTGTGTGTGTGTGTGTGCAAACAGTAGTTAAAGAAGAGGTCAATTAAAGAATAATAATTGTAGGAAGTTGGGGGCATAGAGGAGGAATTGAAACAGAAAGTTATGGGGTGAAAAGGATATAAATGAACTACTTCTGCATCAATTTCTGAAAAAATTACATATGTCTTTTTTTATCAATATTTAATTACTTTTATTTACAGTTATTAACTTGTGTATTTGTCCAATCTTCCAGCTTAAAACCAATGCTAGTTGTTATCAATTCTTACACCTCCCATGCAAGCACCTTTCTAACATATACCCAAGGAGCTGTAATACGCCAATACTCCTTCAGTGACCATCATCAGGTTCTAACAGCACTGCACTTAAACCTACCTGACCCAGTCAGAGAAACTCCCACTTGGAGGACTTTTATTCATGGAAACTCATCCTACCTCCTAGAAGAATACTCTGAGCTCCCGCTGAACCACTCTTCCACTTTCCCTTTAAAAGAAGGAGAATCAGCCATCCAAGATACTGACATGTATCAAGAAAATAAATGAGTCTATGAATCTTTTTGCACATCTGAAATTTTGTCATAGTGAATGATCATGTCCTAGATACAGCTGTAGAATAAAATAATGTGACAAAACAAGGAGTATTCAAAGTAACATGCACCTCTCAAGACTCAGGATTCCTGTAGTCCTATTTTCCACAGAAAAAACACACATTATTTCTATCAAAATGTGCTCATGCCTGGGTCTGACCTGAGACACCTGGGGACCCTGATCTCTTGCTCAATTACTGAAGTGAACCAGGCCTGCAGCTTTACACAGCCCCTGGGGATTTGCATGTGTTCAGAGAACAACCCATTGCCCTGAGGCCTTCTTCATAAGACCGTTACAGTCTGTGCTGTAGCCAGTGTGACCAGGCCACGGCATGAACATGGGGTTCCCTACTCAGCTCCTGGTATTCCTGCTGCTCTGGTTCCCAGGTAAGGAAGCACAGCAATGGTCATTTGTTTAGACCAATGTGATTAGTGTTGACTGAATGCATTAGGTAATTTGTCTTACCACATAATTACTTTTGTGATTTTAATTGCAGGTGGCAGATGTAATATCCAAATGACACAAACTCCATCATCCCTGTCCGTATCTTTGGGAGACAGAGTCAGCCTCTCTTGCAAGGCTAGTGAGAACATTTATACTACATTATCATGGTACCTGCAGAAACCGGGGAAAGCTCCTAAGCTCCTGATCTATTATGCAAACAGCTTGGAAGATGGAGTCCCATCGAGGTTCAGTGGCAGTGGGTCTGGGACACAGTTTTCTCTCAAAATTAGCAGCCTGGAGGCTGAGGATGCTGGCATTTATTTCTGCCAGCAAGGTTATAATCCTCCTTCCACAGTGATACATGCCATGTCATAAACCATCCAGAGATGCAAAGTGTGAGGCTGGGCTGCCTCACCTGCTCCTCCTGGTGTCTGCATCAGCTGAGAGTCATTGTGAGGCACTGTGTGACATTGAAGGACCCTGGAGGGGGAGGGTTAGTATAAATAGCCAAGGGAATCTCGTGAGTTCCCAACTTTTAGTCTTTTTAACATCAGCCACACGAAAACAATTACAATCTCAATTTCAGTAAATACATAGGTTAAGATACTTAGTGGTCTGAGCTGTATATTCAGTTGAGATCACAAAACAGAGCAGAAGACAGCATAAACACAAACAACTACAATTTGGGATCTATTCTTCAGCCATTAACTTGCTTAAGT